AGTAAGGTATATAATAAAATTTAAAACACAAATTATGCTAAAACTATTATATTAATAGTATGTATATAGTAAAATCTAAAACACTAGTACGCTAAAACAATTATAAACCTATATCAAATCTTTCAGTTAATGCTTTCATTGTATTTATCGATCGTATATACCAAAGGACTACTTTTAAAACGTTCCGTTCTACAAGTAAAATTATAGATTATATTACTATTCGCTCTTGTTTCTCTCTTTCTGATGTTGGAATGTTTATCAGGTAGCAGTCCATGTAGTTTATGGATGGTTTGAACCATATTTCTGATAAGGTCAATTATTGACACAGATGCTTTCTTCGTTCTTTTAGTATCAGTCTACTTTCTATTAAGGCTTCATTGTAGTCCTTTCCAGGGCAGATAATCCTGAGCGCCCGTTTTTGAATTCTTTCGATGTTGTTGCTTTGGTCTTGGGTGAGGTTTCCATGCCACACTTGCGCTCCATACTCGAGAGTGGACCTTATAACAGCGCAATAAAAGGACTTTAGATCATCTTTACACGCGCCATCATTCTCAAGGATCTTTAAAAAGTGGAGCCGTTTAGCTGCTTTTTTAATAATATATTCAGTATTTGTGGCCCACTTCATATCATCATCCAGCCACATTCCTAGTAATTTATATGACTTTACCCGAGCAATAGGTTGGTCGTCAATATTAATTGGTGGGATGGTTGTTTTATTCTTCCTGAAATCGAGAATCATTTCTTCACATTTTTCGTGCTTTGCAAACAGCACTACATTGTTGACAATTTCTTGAGTTTTTCCAATCGATGTCCCGGAAGTGTGATCTGATACTTCTATCACTTCGGATAAGGTCGTGTCGTCCATAAACATTATTGTTTCTCCCTCATCCGTATAATTTTGGTTGGTTGTTTCGGCCGATTCCCAATTTGTAACTGATGGGAGTTGATTGATTTTTATAATGAAAGCGATTGGACTTAATTTGCTGCCCTCGGGTACACCCCCATTAATTTCCATTCGCTCGGATTTTACACTATGATGTGAAGTTATCTGTGATCGTCCTTGTAAATACGATGCAAACCATCCAATCAAGCCTGGACGTATACCAATGTCATTAAAGTTTGCAAAAGTCAGTTGTGGTCAATTAAGTCAAAGGCTTTTCGGAAATCGAGGAAGGTAATTCGAACAGTTTTCTTATTATTCTCCATCGCTAGATACCACTTGTGTAGTTGGAAAATTAATGCAAGGACAGCAGACATTCCAGCAAGGCCACCAAATTGAGATTTACTAATTTTGTCATTAGTATCTTTTAGGATCCACTCAACAGCAATTGATTAATGAAGTTTTGAAAAAGTGCTAGTCAATGCAATTGGCCTTAGTTCTTCCACTGACGAACATGGACTTGATTTCGGGACACTGCATATATTGGAAATTTTCCATATTTCAGGAAAAGTTTTGCATCTATAAACGACTGGTTGTAGATATCAGCTAATGGCACGGCGAAGTGTTCAGCGAATGTCTTTATCACCTTCATAGTTGGGTCAAAAGGGCCAGGTGCTTTATTGACGTTTATGTTGGACAACTTCTTTGCAACACTTTCAGTAGTAATTGGTGGTAAAGGATCTTGACTTCCGAATGATAATCATATCATCTTTTACTTTAGGATTTTCTTTGGTCAAACTCGTGAAGAAACTGTTTATGTATAATCGGCGGTGTGCTTATCGTTCATTGGGGCGTCTGATAGAGGGTCTGATAAGTCAAAGTTCTGTCTTTTATTTCCAACAATGCGTTTTACATTTTCCACCATTTCTTTCAGTTTTGGTTTAATATTTTGTTCATTAGAATACGGGCTTGGCCTTTCTAATCTCTCAACAATTAAGTTCCGCAATAGCTTGGATTGATCGACTCTTCCAAGTTGGTATGCCTTATCTCGTTTCTGTATCTGAATTGTTTAATTCTTCCATTTATAAAAGGTTTGTCGTCAACTTGGATTTTGACTGACTTTAAAGGGAAGAATGCATCGACCATTTATGTTGTTATTTCTAAAAACTTGTTGACTTTATCGTTTATACAAGAGGCATTCAGCACGGGTGACCAGTTATATTCACTGATTTTCGGCTCAAAGGCTTGTAGTGACGAGGATTTCAGCGGTCTTACATTTGTCCGTTTTGACTTTTGCTTCATTTGTTCTTGTGATGACCATATAATAGTACAGTGGTCTGAGGTACCAATTGTGGCTAATACAAGTGGGGCTTGGTAGAATTTATGAATGTCCGTCAAAGTAAGGTCAAGAATTGCCGGATTTCTAGTAGGTTTTTTGATGACTTGTTTCAATAACATAACATTAAATAACATAACATTTTGACAGTTTCAAATCAATAAATTAATCAATTTAATAAGTTTGACGTACATATATAGTCATAAATCAAAAAGTGACCGGACACGCAAAGTAACTATTAACAGCCAATCGAGTTGGGTGCCCGCCAAAATCCATGAATTGTTGATAGATCAAATTTCAAAAGACACAATAGAAACAAACAAACAAACAAACAAACAAACAAACAAACAAACAAACAAACAAACAAACAAACAAACAAACAAACAAACAAACAAACAAACAAACAAACAGACAAACAAACAAACAAACAAACAAACAAACAAACAAACAAACAAACAAACAAACAAACAAACAAACAAACAAACAAACAAACAAAGACACGAACAAACAAACAAACAAACATGCATGCATGGAAATCTACAATTTGAGCAACTACAAAGTGCAAGAATTAAAATAATTCACTGATCAGATTGCTATTGAAATACCCATTCTTCATTTCACGCTAAAAGAACCTACAATAACCTTGGTTGATTCATCAATATTGTTCCAAAGCTTAGGACCGGAGCATTTATTATTATATTTTCCATAATTTGTTCGGATTTTAGGGAGTTTTAAACTAGTCTCGATACAAATTTCGTATTGTAATTGTAATTGTAATTGGATTCTGACTCAAGGTTTTTATATCAATAAAACGTCTTAATTCTTAGGATCATTTGGCTACCTTAGCATTTGCAGGTGGGATGCCTAATGAAAAACGAAGGTCTGAAAGAAATCGGGTAAAAACGCTCTACTGCCCACTTTGTTACTTTTTAGACATTCAATGAGATGATTGGTATACAGTATTTACATTGCTGGTAATAACTAACGAAGGACGTGCTTGTGTAATTTAAACTACAAAAAGTTGACAAAATATAACTGTTAACGTTATTACTGTTTATCAGGTGTAAACCAATTTCTCCAGCATTACTCAATGTTGGATGCTAAAAGAACTGCTTTCCAGGCAGTGCTACGTATGTTTCTCGAACGAGGGAAAATTTTAGTTTTTGACAATCCAATCACATCAATTTCAGATAGCAATACAAGAACTCATCGAAATTAGCGCAGAGTTATTATATTGCAATGAAAGATTAAAAATGATATAGCTGAAGAGGGCAGACCTGCCTTTAAATACGCTTGAGGAACTTTTTCAATTCATTACACACTCATTAAGAGAGAATCGTACGGAATCACTATCTGTCATTCAAGATTGTGAACTATTATTCAATGTTCAAATTTTGTGTAATATATGATCACATTTTCCATTATTTTTGCGCACGTTTGAGGAACATTTTAAAAAGGCGAATTCAGGATCCAAGGGACATTAATTAAACACTTTTCCAGGTCTGCATATTGTTTGGCTTACCTTCCACCTCCAACACTACGCAACGACCTTGTAGGGCTGGCGTCCTCCACGTCATAGTCTTTAGCTTCCTCTTGAAAATGCTCTGTATCTCTTCGTCTTCGCTCTTCAATCTCCGCCATATCAAGTTCAGTACTATGACGGCGTTTATCCATATTTAGCGTTCCCACATCAATCTGTTCTCGCATGTTACCTGAGTTATCTCGCTGTCTTACTGCAGAACACGGTAACATACCATATGTGTGTGAGTTATCATGCAAAGAGCCATGACTTAGCGATTTGTCCGATGATGTACTTGATCTTTTAGAACGTCTTCCTTTGTCAGCCTCCGTCAGACCATCTTCTTCTTTTCTAACATCAGTATCATCTAGCGTACTTTCTTTCGAATATTGATTCACATTAGAAGCATTAAGTCCTGTCCTGTTATTTAAAGGTTCACTTACAGATAACTCGGCGAGTCTTACTGCTACACCTTGCTGGTAATTCCCTACATTACGTGAATTTAAGCCACTTTCTGTTATGCGATTCTCAGTTTGGTGCAAGGAAGTGTCTGCACTATCAACTAAGGTTGGTGAAATATTCTGGGCTTCGAAAATTTCATCACTTTCATTTACTAGCCTACTTGCTGAGCTTTTACCCTCTAAATTCTCTGATGTTTTCTCAGTTTGAATACATCTCGCAGTATCTTTGGAAAATCCCAGATTTGGCTGTTCATCGTTTATTTCAATTTCTTTGTTTCGCTGGGATAAACCTGTGGTAGACGTATCCTTCAACACGTGAATTGTTCCTTTGTCATGTACGTTACCCCGTGGTAAATGAATTTGATTAAGATCATTCATTGACAGTGCAACACTTTCATCTTCATTTAACCGTCCTGACTCACTAAATGATAGAAAACATTCACCTATTACTTCGCTATACCAACTTTTCCTATGTACGGCGACAGTGGCGGAAATTCAATTTTTCCGGGGACGGGCAAAATCTTCTAAATTTTCGACAAAACTTTCAAATTTCGGACAAATTTCCGTAAATGGGGACGGTAGCCCCCCCCACCACCACCAAGATTTCCGCCACTGTACGGCGAATACTCAAACATGGGATCATTTTCACTTTTCATCCTACAGGGGGTGGATCTACCGTGGGGGTGCAGGGGTTGCGCAACCAACCTAGTGATATCTAGCACCCCCCCCCGTCGTAAAGAAGTCCAGCACCACCCTAAAACAATCTGTTTGACCCTACTTTTGCTACTTTCCGAACACCGATTAGCGGATCGTCTACTGTTAGCGCGTGTTGAATTTTTGAAACGATTGATATGCTAGCTCACGAGAAAATACTCGGAATGCTTCAGTTAAATATCATGGCTAAATATATAAACATGTCGAGGTTGTTATGTTATACAGCCATAGTTTCAAATATATTGTAATTTAACAAGTAAATTTACTGTACTGTGGTACAGTTTCTTTCGGGTACTGTAGCTACGATCAAAACAATGACTGTTTAGCACTACTGGTAGAAAATGCCTGGCAGCGCCGGAAGCACCAGTGACAGGAAATTTTTAACGAAATATCTTTGCATACAATTTGATTGTTGTACAAATGTTACAGCAATTTATGTACATACAGTTATTAGGCACTTACACATCTGAGTCTGACTGTCCAGAAGATTGTTTAAAAGGAATGTTATCCCCATGATCTGAGTGCTCATTTCGAAGTGTTGATTTCTCACTATTCTGTCCTTCTGCAAAGGCGGACTGTCTGACATGACCTGGGACATCAGCCTCATTATAGACCTGCTTCAGCGGACGAAATTCATCTTTACTGTCTAAAAGAACAAGAAAAATAAAAAGAAAATTAAAACTTCACGACTAGAAACAACGGCATTTCCAAATTGTGGGATACATTCAACATTTCGTTAGCCTTTTTAAACCTAGGCAGGCAACTACAGATACGCATGTTCATACATGATGGTGGAAGTTTAGTTAATTTAGTTTAACTACTAGAAATACTTCAATGCAGCAAGCCCTCGCCTATATTTTCCAAACATTGACTTACATGGAGTACTGTATTAGTAATTGATCAACACTGAACGCAGGCTCATGGCAACACGACAATTTTAATTTATTTTTTTTTTTTTTTTTTGAACAACACGCCAAAAATAGTTGAAAGATTATTGCTTTTAACTATACAACAATGAATTTCCGAATTATGTACTGCAGGTATGTTATTTTGCATTTTGTGAGCTTTGATTTAATTAAAATTTAACCTGAATCGCTTCGTAAAATGTTTTGAAATGTTCATTTTAATAACTAAACTGCTTTTGTCGTCTTTGCCGATAAACTGTTTTAACTTAATAAAACTAAATAAGTTCAAATTGTGGAGTAATTCCAGTTAGGTTTTGAGATCAGTGAGGAGGTCCACCCATGAACCATAGTCACACGCCCACGATCATTGATGAACTTTAGACTTCGCTAATGCTTTCTTTCCCCCGGGTGTAAATAGCCGGGCGGAATTAGTACCCTCGCCCGGGCTAACGCCCGGAACGGCGCTCCGCGTCGTTGGCTCGGGGATAAATATTGTGATTGTGGCTTTCCATCAAATCACCCCTCATCCTCTCTCGTCCAGTTTTATTCCGAAGCCGCTCCAGGCGTAAGCCTGGGGCGAGGGTACTAATTCCGCTCGGCTATTTATACAGCCAGGTATTTAGCAACATAGCGAAGTGCAAAGTCTATCTTGTTGGTTTTTTTCAGTATATTTTGCAAATTTCAATTACGTATAAAAGTTTACAGAAGTACAAAACGCTTTTTTTATTTTAACTGGAAACAGGCCTGCAGTTTCATGAATTAGTGGCTGTCAACCGTGAAACAAGTTTGTAAAGTTTGCAAGGCGTATAAACAGTTTAGTTAACAGTTTATATTTAACAGTTTAACCATATTTATTATGAAACTGCAGTTATTATTGTTCATATTGTTCATTTATAATTATCTTCTACCTAAAGCAAATGTGGCTTGACCAAAATCAAACTCAAGTAAAAGCCTGTGCCTATAAAGCAAATATATATTTACCCTATTTTCTAGCAAACTATTTGTCTGCAAAACGAGTGTTTCAGTTTCCCCAGCTTCACATCAAAGTTTCAAAACGTTTACCGTTTTAGTTTGCATTAAATTGTAGCCAATTGAAAGGCAAATAACATAAAACTACATTCTAGGTTTGGAAAATCAATGATTCTTTAGTTAAAGAAAATAATATTTTCCCATATTATTTTCACGTTTAAATGATAAAATACTAAGTGTGGAATTTATACACTTCAGCTATTAAGAAAGGCGAGGGCTTGCTTGCATGCATGTATTTCTATAGTAGTTTTAATGTTATATGTGCAATGTATTTTATATGCATCTGTGACGTAAAGAGCGGCTAAGGATACCATGTGATCAATGTGCCCAGATCATCAAGTAAGTAGTGGGAATAAAAGTACAAGCTGCCCATTGGCCATAAAAGTATCTCCAATGAAATTAATCACGTCAACAAATAAGGCATCGACAATTTTTTGAACAGGACCCGATTATTAACCAGATAAGCTTTTCTTAGGCGTCAGTAACCTGAGTAACGTACTGAATCAATGAAGCAGCGGATACTATAAAAATGTGATTTCAACACAAGTTGTGTTCACAATCTAATGATGATACCTTGGGCTGCCAGGTTAAAACTTCCAAATCCAACATTTGTGCTACTTGGTGGTGGTGGTGGCGAGTGGATAGAATGATAGCTAGCCAGACGACGAAACGTCAAAGAGCTGGGTATGCTTGCAACTGAGTGTCCGGGAGGTACAATCATACGACTTTGAAAGTTTCGATATGACGCATCAAGGGCCTTGGATAAAAAATTAGAGTTAAAAATGAAGAGAAATTTTAAAAGAGTTAAAACCTAGTTTTGATGTAATATTTCAAATCCGACTATGAGGACTAGACTAGATTTCAAGTCCGCGCAATTTGATCATGCGCGAGTCGAAACCGAGGACTGGATCAAAATGTGAGGACTTGAAATCTAGTCCAGTCCGAATTGGAGGATTTGAAACTGCCTCCTCCGCAGGCCCTCGTTGTGTCATGGGAAGGTCACGATTTCGAGAGGGCCTGCGGAATCTTGTAAAATGAATGAATGTTGTTTTGAACCTGCTTCGTCAAAGAAGGCAGTTTTATTCTTGCAACGTTGGTGTGGACAACAAACCTTATCGTTAAAAAATGCTTCCTTCCGCGTCCTAAGAGTCGCCAGTTTAATTTACAAGTTTCACGCCGCATTTTTATATTTTGTTTATATTCAAGATTATGTAGAAATTTACTTGCTGACGTGACGCCGGCGCCATTTTTTTTACAAGATTCCGCAGGCCCTCGCCAGATCGTGACCTTCCCATGACGCAACGAGGGCCTGCGGAGGAGGCAGGATTTGAAATGATCATACTTAATTAATTTTGATCCAGTCCAAGGACTGAATACATTTTGATCCAGTCCTAGGACTGGATCAATATACTTCATCAGGTATCCAGTATCATGTGAGCAAAATAAAGCAATATGTTGGCTAATTTACTCATGAATTATTAATCAGTTTGAGA